CATGGTCCTGCCGCGCCGCGGGCGGGCGGACGGGGCTGGGCCGGGCCTGGCGGGAGCGCGGTGGTGACAGCGGCGCCTCAGGACCCCCCGCCCCTCCCTCCCGCGCACCCGCCACTGCCCGGCGCAGCCAACCCCAGCGGCCGCCCGCCGCCGCCATGGCCAATCACCCGCTGCCGTCAGCTCTCCGCCCCTCCTTCTGGCACTGGAGTGACAGCGCGGCCGGCCAATCAGGTAGCGCCCTCCCGCATTCAGGGGTGGGTGCGCAGCGGTGGCCGGGATGCCTCGGCCGGGCTCGAGGGCGCCGCGGTGGAGCCGCCGGGGGACGGGCCGTGCCGGGGAGCGGGGGGTCACTCAATGCCCTGGAGACCTCGGTGGGGCGAGAAGCCACCGCGGGCCTGGTTACTGCCCGCCCGGCAGCGGTTGAACGTCCCGAGCCGCTGGAGCTGTGCTGGGGCTTGTGCTCAGGGGTGGCGGGTCCCGGGGGCTGCTCGGCGGAGCTCCAGCCTTGAGTCGGGGTGGTGCCGGGGACCCCGGCGCTCAGACCCAGAGCGGCTTGTGGTGGAGACATTCAAACCCCACCTGGACGAGTTCCCCTGTCACGAGCTCCAGGGTACCATGCCTTGACTGAGTGATCTCCAGAGGGTCCTCCCAACCCCAACAGTTCTGTGATTCTGCGTGTCCCGAGGCTGGAGCCAACGGGAGCAGCGTTGTAGAGAAGGTTTAAAATAAATAGTATGCTTCTCTTGGAACAAAGGCAGCCTTCTTTGTGCTGCAGAAATTTGAATCACAGAGTGGTTGGGGTTGGAAGGAGCTAAAATATATCCGGTTGCACCTCTGCCGTGGGCAGGGGCACCTTCCACTAGAACCTGCCTCATCCAGCCTGGCCTTGAACACTTCCAGGGATTCGGCATCCACAGCTTCTCTGGGCAACCTGTGCCACTGCCTTACCACCCTCATAGTAAAGGATTTCTTCTTTTAATCTAATCTAAACTTGCTCTCTGTCAATTTGGAGCCATTCCCCTTGTCCTGTCTTTACATGTCTTTGCAAAAGTCCCTCTGCAGCTTTCTTGTCCGACCCCTTCAGGTACTGAAAGGCCTCAATAAGGTCACCCTGGAGCCTTCTCTTCTCCAGGCTGAACAATCCAAATTCTCTCAGCCTTTCCTCATAGGAGAGGTGCTCCAGTCCCCTAATCATCTTTATGGCTTTGTTGCAGTCATTTGTGGGGGAAAGTCTCGGGTTTTTTAGCACATCCCAGGAGACAGGCCATTCTTTAATGTGAACAAATTAACCCTTCTGTTAACAATCTGAGTGCAACTGATACAAAGCATTAAGTCATGATGAAGGCAGCAGTTGTAATCCAGGTTCAAAACAGGACCAGTGAACATTTAGGGTGACATCAATACACTCACTCATAGCTTGACTTGCCTCCAAATCAGCCCCTGTACAAAAGTGGAGAATGTGAACATTAATAAAGGCTGTGTTTAATGCATAAGGACAAGGCCACTGCCAGTATCACCAATAAGAGACCTTAATAAAAATAGGCAGCATTTATTTCCATGATGCGTGTGATTCATGCTCAGTTCCACACCACCGGTTGAAAGTGTATGAAGGGATCATTTTGAGTCTGGGCTGAGCGCCAGGGGTGCCCTATGCTAATATATATCTATCTTGTATTAAAGAGTCTTTCCTGGGTTTTACCTAAGCTGTGGAATTGCATGCTGTCTAAAGAGAAGGGACTAAAGGCCAGCGGGGAGAAAAGACTGATGAAGATAAAAGGCAAGTGAGAAAAAAGCAGACTTGAAGAAGGCAGAAACAAACGGTTGTGTGGGGAGGAAGAGCCTGCCAGGTGGAAGTAGGACATGCTGGTTTACACAAGACATAAGAAACTCAATCTTGCCTCTGTTCAGGCTCCTCAGAGATGAAGGAACCGAGGCTAAATGGATCTTGAGATGACGAACTCTTGCAGTGTTGAAAGGCTTCTGTACCACAGGGGTAGGAATGTTCCTGGAATTTTGAGTTGGAACCTTTGTGTTTTCTGCCAAGTCTCAGAATTCCCAAGTTTGCCTTGCTATGTAGGGAAGCACAGGCCTCTCATTTTTGAACTTCGGAAAATCACTAAAGAGCTCATGGCTGAAGTGTGAAGCTCTTGTGACTACTGCAGGCAGGAGCAGCAGTAGAACATGTGACAGCACAACTCAGAGTGACAGAAACCCCGGGATCTCCTTGCAAAATCCTTGGGCTGCATTAACACAAACAGCACTTGTCTTAACAATCTTTGCAATCTTAACAATATTTGCAAGAAGGTTGCTGCAACTCTCACTATCCCTTGGTGCTACTTTGAACTGAAAACTTCCCCTTTGCTTTCACGTCTCTGGCAGGTGTGGCGGTTTCTGAGCTGCCCTTGCAGGTGAGAAGGCACCTCCAGCCTGCTTTCTGCTTCCCCAGCAGCTGCTCTCTCAAGGTGCAGGTACACAAACTGGTGTTTCTGCAGAGCAGCATAATTGGGGGATAGTGTAATTAACTGGGGCTTCATCTCACCCCACACTTGATGGAAGAGGTTGTACAACCACACACATGCAACCACCCAGACATCACTCTTTGCCTTGCCAAGGTGTGAGATGAGAGTCCAGCGAGCAGCTGAGTGTCTGGATCCTGGGAAATGCAGAGAGTTTGACAGCTCCTATCACTCCATGCTCTGGAGGTGTGTGCTGGCAGCTGCAGGGGTTACGAGGCTGGAAGGAGTGAGGACGAATGGATGAAGCATGGGGGAAGCACACACAGATGAGGAATAAACTGCATCTGGGATGATGTCAGCATTTATGCAGCCAAGCTTTCCCCTAGGGCTACTGGCCATTCAGTCATGTGCAGGTGCACTTGCTCCTGCTCCAACAATGCCACGGTGCCAACAGTTGATTTTATTTTGCTATAAGTTGTTGGGAAGTAAAATTATTACAGACACTTTAGGAACCAGGTCCTAATCCTGGCAGCTTAATTTAGTCTAGTGCACGAATTCTGAATATAATGTGGGTTATTGGTAAGGTCCTCATGTACCTCTTTTCACAAGAGTTTTTTATTTAAACCACCTCATTTAGGAAAGATAAGGAAAACTTAAAGAAACACAAAAGTACTTTCCCTGTCAGCCCTCTCCTTGGTGAGGCCAGGTGTTCTCAAAATCTGGGGGTTCACGACCCCACTGCTTGAGGACGTTACTCTGGATTTATGGTTTCTTTGCTCAGGCAGTGCAGGGAAATTAGTTGAATTATCTGCTGCCTGAAAGAGACCTGGACTGCAGAATCACAAGGGGAAGAGATGGGGTGAGTCAAGAGATAATGCCAACATTAAAAGATAAAATGGATTAACATCTCCCTGCGCAGGACAGGCCCTCCTGGCTGACCTACATGGGGCTTACAGCTGATTTTTACCCACAGGCTCTAGCAAGAGGTTGCAAAACCAATCCATGAAAAATAGCTCACAATCATATATTTCCATTTCTATTTCAGCCTGGGATCTGAGCTTTAACAAGACTGGAGACAAAGGAGGCCACGCACTGCTTGTCCAAGGCCACTGTTCCAGTACGTCTGGGCCAACACAAACCGTGGGGAAGGGCCTGGTTAGGATGAGATTAAAGAGGTAATTCTCCCTCCCTATGCAGATGGGAGCTAAGTGTGGCTTAAGTAAATTACTGAATGGCTTGTTATAGCCCTGGCTGAGTTCCCTTGCAGCGCAGGGCCTGTTTTCTTTACATCCAATTTGCTTTGAAGCCCAGAGTGTCACAACAGCATTCCAACACCTGTATCTCTGTGCTTGTCTGGCATCCCTTCTCTGGACGATGGGACCCTGGGGGACCTGCTGTGGGTGGCTCTGAGGCTCAGGATAAGTCCCATCAGTTTCCCTAATAATTTCTGATGTTCATTCCTTGAAAGCTCCCCCCTCCTACTGTGCTGGTCCATGACTTGATCTTCAGGCACTGGCTGACTGAAAGCCAAAAGCACTTTGCTCTTGGCTGAAGGATTTTTAGCAGAGGCACACTTTATTCACAGCGTGGCATGGATGAGCCTACAGGCCTTCATGACGGAACAACCCCCAATTCCCTCGTTTCCACCCTTGCTCTTGTACCCTCTCAAGAGTCTTTTGGCTCCTGATCTGTGTCCTGGAGAGGATCTGAACCCTTCTAGCTTCCTCCCTGCTCCCTCACATCACAGCCAGAGCTCTGCCCTTTGGCTTGTCATTTGTATGGACCATTTTTCTATGGAGTTTAAAAATCACTTCTAGCACCATGTCATCTTGCACCCCATTTCTTGGCATTTCCCAGGAGGACTGGCCTGAGAGGCCTGGCTGGTAGAATCATAGAATATCCTGAGTGGGAAGGGACTCACATCCTCAAGCTCAACTCCCAGCCCTGCACAGGACAACTCCAAGAATCCCATCACATGCCCATTAACCTCCACATAGAATCACAGATTCATAGAATAACTAGAAATAGAAGGGACCCCTAAGGATCATCAAATCCAAATCCTCTCCTTGCACAGCCCCAAGAACCCCACCACGTGCCTGAGAGTATTGTCCAAACACTCCTTGAGCTCTGCCAGGCTCGGGGTTGTGATCACTTCCCTGGGGAGCCTGTTCCAGTGCCCCGTGCAACCATTCCATCTAACAATGGCCCCACTTCCAATGACCAAGTGGCCTGACCAGGGTGACCCTTCGCACAGGCTATTTTGGGGCTGCAAACCCCCGCGATGCCGCCACCGCACCCCGTATCCCCAGAAAGAGGGGCGGGAATTTCCCTTGCTTGTGCTGAAACAGCTGCTCGGTGAAGTTTGCTCCAAGGGCCGCCGGACCGTGGCTCTACGGCCGCCAGCACACCCATCCCGGTATCCGAGGGATGCCGGGAGGTGCTTCCCGGTCCTTGCGGCCTCCCGGGCTGGGGCGGAACGTTCGGCGCGGCCCGCGCGTTCCGGGGGGGAAGGGGCCGCGCGCGGACACCGGCGCCGCCATCATGGCGGCCTGAGGCGCGGCGGGCTCAGCGCCGGGAGCGGCGGGGCGGGAGGCCGGGAGCCGACAGGTAACGCCGGGGTCCGGGGCGGCCGTGAGGGATCCCCCGTAAATCACCCCCTGCGGAAGAGCTCGGCCTGCTCGGTGGGGCCCGGGGGCTCTGCCGGGGGACGACAGGACCGGGAAACCCCCGCCTCCCTGTGCGGGGTCTGCGGGCCGCTTCCCGCCCTGAAACCCCCCCAGAGAGGCCTGACCGGGAGAGAAGCCCGGTTTGTCCCCGTGCACGGGTTGTCTTAGCCTTTGGCCAAGCTCCGTTGGAGTGTTTTGTGTATTTCAGTCACTTCTCACCAGGATAAGGCGCTTGTGGAAGCAGCGAGGTATTCCCGGGTGTGCGGACAGGTTGCAATAGCACCGCTGTTGTCTGAACGTGTACTCGGGTAGGGGCAAAGCGTTGGCATTTCTTCCCTGTCAGGGCATGGATGCAGCCAGCCAGTCCTTTGTAACCTCACGCTCCAGCGTGTGGTTTGGTTACCTGTGAGGGAGAAACAATGGAACCGGGGAATCTGAATCCAATTCCCAGCTCTCCCAGTCCATGTGCTCTCCTGAGGAAATTGTCCTCTGTGTCTGTTTCTTGTCCATGAGTAGGGAGGGCAGCACTGGTGTATGAGGAACCCACACTGAGTGTTACTGTATTGCAGGGATTTCTCAGTCAGAACGGAGGTGCTGTTCTTGTGTTGCGCTTGTGCCTCTGACGGAAAGAGGATTTACACCGAGAGCTGAGACATCTCTGTGTGCAGAGTGTGAAAGGCTGTCTGCTCAGGTTGAGACCATTGAGGTGTAAAATAGCAGGGTAAAATGTATTTTTAGAAGTTGACTAATACAGGAAGTTGTGATGGCTTCACAAGCCTTAATTTGGGTAGGCCTGGCGAAACAGTGAAACCCCTGTGTGACTGTGCTCCCCCCACGGGGGAGGATGTGGGCCCGGTGGTCACACAGAACCAGACACAATCTCTAGTGTTTGGTTCTCTGCTGTTTGTTTGGTTTTCTTCACCAGAGTAAAGGTTACACCCTCTACTTGATACTTATCCCATACAAACATAGCACAACTCCCCCCCCTCATCTGCCAAGTTCTTTGTTTGGTGTCTGAATAACATGCTTGGGAAGTTTTGTCTCAGTTGTTTGTAAACAAACAACTCGTTTTGTGGAACTTGTTAATAAATAGTGGTTTAGGTTTCAAAAACAACATGTTGGTGCTGGGAGACAACATGCACACCAGAAATGTCAGGCAGCAGAGGAAGACAAAGACCTCTCTTTAGAGGGACTTAAATAGAGCCTTTGTAGACAGGGTATTTTTATCACTTGAGCTTTCCAGTTAACCCAAAACACTTGAACTGTGCAGTGCAGACTGTTGAGCTGCTTTGCAGGCCAGTTCTCTTTGCCTTTTGGGCTCAGAAAGCAGTAGGAATTATGTGCACACACTTTATCTGTAGCCAGTGTAAAAGGAAAAGATGTAATGTGTGGGCATACAGTGTGGATCAGTCCTTCACAGGGAATTATATTAGTGGCTGTTTTTGGGGTGTGTAATGAGGAAGGAGGAAGCCTCAGCTGACCTCTAATAGATGTATCAATAAGCATCTTCACAGTTGGCATTATTTGGCAGAATCAGTATAAGGAAAAGTCTGAAAACAGCATGAAATCTAAACTCCTTTTCTACTGGCAAGACCAGATCCTTTTAGGGGACTGAGCAGACAGAAATTTTGCTCAGATACTGTGTGAATCATTTTTGCTCCCCAGATAAATCAGCAGCTGAACCTGCTGGGTTTGTGGCCTGCCCCTGGGTGCTGGAGAAGGACCTGGCTCTGCTGACACTGAAACAAGCTCAGCAGCTCCTGGTCCACTGCCAGGACTCAGCAAAGGAGGAAGATGTATTAATATTATGTTCTTTTATTGACAGATTGAAAACTGAGAATGGCAGGAGAACAGAAACCGTCCTGCAATCTTCTAGAGCAGTTTATTTTACTGGCCAAAGGTACAAGTGGCTCAGCTCTGACTGCTCTTATAAATCAAGTGCTGGAGGCTCCTGGGGTTTATGTCTTTGGAGAGCTGTTGAAGTTAACAAACGTGCAGGAGGTAAGAGATGAGTTTCCATCCTAATGCCCTTTTCTGCACTTCCCCAATATGAGGGATCCCCAGAAACTTCCACACACAGTCTGTGCATGAAATTTCTGTGCCAGGAAGGGCCTGATGCGACTTACCTTGGTTCTGAGATGTTTGTGTGTGAGAGACTGATGTTTCTTTTGCCTTGTATATGTTAGGTGTTAAAAAATACCTATATAAAGCTTTGCTACCTTGATGCAATTGCTAACACAACAAAAATCTGGCAACAGCACAGTAACAGTTTTAGGAAGGCACTTAGCCAGCCAGCAACAAAAAAAATCCCTTTCTACTCCTTTGCTGTCCTGGAAAGCAGAACTTCAATGCTCTCCAAGAGTCTTTGTGAACAGATGTCTAGTGTATCAGGCCTGAGTGGTAACCAAATCCAAACCATTTCAAACCAAGATGGAAAGTAAGTTCCAGAGCTTTTGCTGAGAATGCCTTGCCAGCCCCTGCCTCTACTCCAATGAGGGAATCTAAGCTGAGTATCTCTGCAGCTGGAATAACGCAGTGTGCAGCGAGTTTGGCTTTCCAGACAGGCTCCTAAATATGCCCAGAAGTACCTCTATGGTTATTCAGCATCAAATCACAAGGACTTTTTCCCCTGGATTTGTGTGCAGCAAATTTTATTAAAAAAACCCAATCAATAAAAATCACTGCGTGGTGCTGCTGTTACTCCAGTGAAGTGTTTGCAGGCAAGGAGTGCTGTTACATTTGAGTGTTCAAATGCATTCAACTCACAGCGTTCCAGCTTGCTTTGCTTTGAAGCTGTGGTGGCTCTGCAGGTGAGCTGCCTTAGCTTTCACAGTCATAGCCAGGATGCTTAACCAGCCATCACCATTGCCTGCTTGCTTATCACATGAGGAGAAGAGCTGGCCCTGTAGGTTGTCAGCTGAAATTAAGATTTGCCTCTTTCTTTTACTCCCTGAGGTGCTGTACAAAGCAGTTGACAGCCCAAACTGTAGTTATGTTCTGGTGCACAGAAATGGCTGGATCACCTTGACTCTAAAACTGTTGAAATTTGCTTGGAAAGGGTCCAGCTCTTTAAGACCGAGATGTAATTGCTTTTCTGGCTACTTCTTGTCCTATGCAGGCTTAAACCATTCTCTGGAGAAGTTGATTATCAGGGTTGTGTCGACTGTTCCTGTTTAATGTGAAGTTTCTTTTCTCCCCACCCAGCTTGCTGAAGGGTCCAATGCTGCTTATTTCCAGCTGCTGAACCTGTTTGCATACGGAACATACCGAGACTATGTAGGTAAGATACTGCTGCCTGATTGCACAGGGCAGGGCTGGGCTGCCCTCTGGGATTGTCAGAGGCAGTTCCTTGCTTTCTGTGATGCCTGGTGGAGTGTGGCTGGGGGAAAGTGTCCAAGAAAAGAATTTGCTTGGGAGAAGAGTTCTCCGTAGGGGTTCTCTGGATCATATGTGCTTTTTAATTGCTAAAATTAAAGGAAAGGCTAGAGAGCGTGGTGTGTTACTGGTTTGGATGGGACTGCAGTGCTGGATGGAATTGGTCTGTAGCAGAATTCATTGATGTTCACAGACCACTTACCTCTGCAGAGGGCAATTTCAGACATCTGTTTGGAAATTTAGATGACACCGGTTAAGGAAACTGCAGAAAACTTAGACAAAATTGTTCTGCATTATTTATAAAAACGTATATGGTTTATGAGGCAACCTTTTATTCCGTGACAGCACTGCTGAAACAAAATAAAGAATTTCTTAGCTAAAATAGAAGTTGAAATAATGACTTTTATACAGCTTCAGAAGGACTATGTGTGAATCATCTTTGTATCTGTCAAAATGTGCTTTTATCTCTGGTGCTTATGCTTCCATTCTGCTACAATTTAATGCTTCATTTGTGAGTAGCAGCCTCATCCAGACCATTACAGAGTGTGACAAAGAATTCTGTCATAGTGCTGGCTATCACTGTGGTAGATGAGCTATCTAGTTCCTGTAAGGAGAAGTGGCATCTGTAAGTGCAAGGACTGGAAATTCCAGTGGCTGTGGAGCAACACGAGCCTCATGAATTCTGTGACTGATTAGAGGATGTGTTTTCTCTTCATGGCTCTTTTGTCCCAGCATGTGACAGCACAGATCGTTCTTCCTTTTCTAGTGAAGAAAGAGAAATGGGTAAAAGTAGTCAAAATGTAGAGTATTGGATGAGGTGGGATGGATGGGAGAACTTGAGTGGCCCTGAAACATTAATTTCCATTAAAGTAGATATTTTAAAGAGTTTTTTTGCTTTGGAGAGCTGCCAGTTTCCTTTCTGTTTTTAAATATTCATGAGGCACATAGATATAATACAGTGACAGTGTGGCCATCTAGATTAATAATTTTTCCTCTCTTCCTCAGCCTGGTACTTTACATTTTCAACTCTAAATTCTGCAGTTCTTTAGAGAAATAAGACCAGCTGTATTTGCAAACAGATTAGCCAGGGAGGAAGATTTTATTCTGTCAGCTTGTTAATGAAATAAAAATTACTTGTTAGAAACAAAACATTGACCAACTGTTTTGGCAGGGCACCACTTGAGAATTACCTTCTAATTCCAGAACCAGAATTACTAAAGAAGCAGAGAAGCATGGAATTGTCGAGTTGTTTTTAACTTTTTCCCTCTCTCCCTGGGTGTGCCAATCTGTCTGCAGCAGCAGCACTCTCTGCTCACCAGCACCCACAGTTGCTGGAGGAGTTCAGCCTTCCAGGGTTTAGTGTAGCATAACGTGCCTGAAATTCTGCAGCCCTGGATTATGTAATTTCTGAAGTAAAGTCTTGAATCTTGTCTTTTTGGCATTAACAGCAAACAAAGACAACCTGCCTGAATTAACAGTGACTCAGAAGAACAAGCTGAAGCACTTGACGATCGTAAGCCTGGCGTCCAGAATGAAGGTAACGTGCCTGGAGTGTGACAGCACTTGTCTCTTGGTTTAGTTTTAGAAAATATCTTCCATTCCATAGCACTGAAGTTGTTTCAGACTGCATAAGTACTCACAAAAAAACCACTGTACTGGGAAAGTACCTGCAGTGTACAGTGTTCTCTCCTGGTGCATATGGGACATTAGCCCAGTGGAATTCCATGGATGAGGTATAAGCGTGTCTGAACTGACATGCAAATTGGTCAGGAAGGCCTGGGAAACTTTGTATGGTTCATTCACTGCTGGAAACAGAGAATCATACTTAAAAACACTGACTTTTTGTTCTAGAGAAGGCTAAGCAACACTTAATTTCTTCTACAATCCCATTACCTTTTTTCTTCTGTAATGTGCTAATACCAAAGCTTCAGGAATTACTGAAGTTGTGACAGAATGGTTCATGCCCTGGCAGGTGTTTGTTCTGCCACAATCAGTCACTGCTGCACGTGCAGGTTAAAGTGTAGGATACAATAAATATTTGAGTCTTGACCTTCTGAGACTTAGCTGTTCATTTTTGGCTCTGGGACTGTTAACTTATTCTTGGTCTTGCTGTTTTTAGTGCATTCCCTATTCTGTGTTGCTGAAGGATCTGGATATGAGGAATCTGAGGGAGCTGGAAGATCTGATTATTGAAGCGGTTTATACAGATATTATCCAGGGGAAGTTGGATCAACGAAACCAGGTGTTAGAGGTGGATTTTTGTATTGGTAGAGACATTCAGAAGAAGGACATCAGTAACATTGTCAAAACACTCCAGGAATGGTGAGGCAGTCTCTCTACCTTTCTTGTTCCTTGTACATAGCTTGTCCTGTTTTTAGCTTATCCTCAGAGTTTCAAGAGCTGGCTCAATTTCGCCATGTTCCATTAATCAGGAGTCTTGTGCTATAAATCGGCACGTGGAGGAGGAGTCTGTTGGGCAAGTTTTCCAAGATCCCATCTGAGATTCAATTTGTGTGATGTATCAAGCCAAACTACCACATTGTGAGCTTCTGCTCACAATGTTGCTTTTACATGGCAAGACCTCAGCGAGGAGTAGAGGCCTTTGCAAAGAGAGGTGCCAAACTGGACTCAAGGTCCTGTGGTGGGAGCTACTCCCCTTCCTGCTGTTACACTTGATAACAAAAACAGAACTTTTCAGCCTTTTTCACTGTGATGAGAACGATGTGGGCAAATTCTAGAGAATCACTGCTGCCTGCAACCCTAGTGGGACTGTGGTATTATCATTTTGTATCTTTGCCAGGAGTTGCTTCTCATCTTTTTTTAGGACTCCTTTCCCACCCGGAGATATTCCCCTATAGACTGTGGAGCCTGTGGCAGGTCTTGAGCTGACTGGGAATTGCTTCCTAGTTGCTGTGGTAATGAGCGCATGAGAAGTAATTAAACTGCTGGGTAAATACACTGTCCTGAGGTTGGGGCAGGTTTTTTGCTTCTCTACTCCAACTCTCTCAGTCCCATCATGGCAGGAGGGCTCTGGCAGCTTCCAGGACCTTACAGCCCTATTTGGAAGGTAACAGTGAACCCACTGCCAGTTCTCTTTTTGTCTTTTCCAGTCCCGAGTTCTTGTCATTTGAACACTTATTTCAGTATTACTTTTTTCTTTAATTTTAAAATTTTTCTTACTTTTAAATAATACGTTGCATCCCTGTTTAAGCCATAATTCTGACTGAAAAGAAGGGTTGAAAGTACATTGAACCTGCCGTTACTCTTTGATGGTAAGAGTAACACAGACTCTCTAGAGAATGCTGTGAAACGTGTTGAGTGTGCAGCAAAGCTTTTCTTGCCAGCTTTTTGCAACTCTAAGCAGGAGGTATAAATTTAATAATCTCTTAAACTTTTGGATGAGTGTGACTTTTCAGTGCCTGACTGAGCTGCTCCAGAGAGAACTTGTAGACACTGGCATTGTTTGTATCTTGCAGGTGCGATGGTTGTGAGGCAGTTCTTTTAGGAATTGAGCAGCAAGTACTTAGAGCCAACCAGTACAAAGAGAACCATCACAGAACTCAGCAGCAGGTAGAGATGGAGGTGGGTACAGATTAATTTCAGGCTGCTCTATGCTATTTGATAAGTGTCTGTTTGCTGAAGAAAATGATCTGGTAACACCTGGTTGGTTGATGGTCATGGCTCTCTGAAGCAGGCTGGCAATCATGCAAACAAGGTGTGGGGTAGGAAGAAAACACGGCTGTTTCTGAGTGCTAGTAAGACCACAAACAACACATTTGCCCACTATGAGCAGATTGCATCTTTCTTGATACATTTTTATAAATTTAGGGTGTGTGACTACACTAACTGTTGTCCTACATTGATTTGTGTGGAAAACTGTGCTTTCGGCACAAAGCTTTGATACAATTCTGTTCCTTTCCTACCAGGCAGTCAGGAAGGCAAAAATAAACCAGTTCTCTTTGTTTTGCACCTGAAAGTGCGATTAACGAAATTCTCTCGAGGCTCGTTGCTTTTGCAAAAAGTGCCCCCGGCAGCTCCCCCGGGGGTCGGGGCGGCCCGGCCGGGCCCTGCGCGCTCCCGCCCGTAGGTGGCAGCACGAGCCCGCGGTCCGGCCCGGCCCGTGCCACCAAACCCGGCTAAAGCCGCCGGGAAGGTGGGAACGGGCCTCCCGAGGCTCTGGATCAGGGATTATTTCTTGGAAAGTGCTGCATCCCTGCAGGTTTATGTTTGCATGTGCTTGGCGGCTCGATCGGCGTCCATAGCACGTTTGGTTTGCCAGATGCCTTTGGCCTGGTGTTGGTGCACCTGACTCCCAAACCTTGGGGTTTTTTTTTTTAAAGTTGCCTCATTGTATTTGTAGTGAGCCCTACAGAGTTCCAGGGGACAGAGGATGGTGCCTGGTGACATATCTCTCCTTTTCAGCCGGAGTAGCAGAAACATTACTGCTGCCTCCCATGAAACCAATTTCTGTTCCTGCTTCTAGCAAATACCTGTGGCTCAGCCAGCAAGCCAGGTCAAATGGCATTTTCCCTTTTCAAGTGCTGTCCTAAGAGTAAATTTTTCTTTCACAGTCTTCTTTCGCCTTCTTGCTTCTGGCCAACAGAAAGGTACAATGGCTGCCTTCTGCACCAAGGCAGCAGTAGGTCCCTCCAGCCAGAAAGAAAGGTGGTACAATATTGTGCCATTGTCTCTTAGGGAAAAAAAAAGGAATCCCCCGTTATTCCATATTTGACCCAGACTGGAAATATTAACAGCTCTGACTGTAATTGAGGATGAAATATTACCTTTAATAAAGTCAAATGCAGAGCATGTTACTGCTGGGAGAGTCTCTTTTGTAATCTCCACTCTGTACTCCAGGGGATTTTCAATATGTTTATGAACAGAGTTTCTGCTGTGAGGGGAGGAAGAAGCAGGTGCTGATTCACTGTCTCTTCTTGGCCAGGTCACAAACATAAAGAAAACATTAAAAGCTACAGCCTCGTCGTCGGCACAGGAGATGGAACAGCAGCTGGTAGAGCGAGAGTGCCCTCCACACACAGAACAAAGGCAGCCCACAAAGAAGATGTCCAAAGTCAAAGGGCTGGTCTCCAGCCGCCACTAGAATGTACCATCTAAATTGTCATTCAGTTAGGAATGACAACAGGAGGAGCAAAAAGGGCCTGCAACTCCTTTTCGGTGGGTTCTGGGCCAGTCCCTTCCAGGCTGGCAGATAAAAGCCCTGTTGAATACAGCTCCCAGTTAGCAGCACCTGGCTAAGTTACACTGTGCTGCCCCTATGAAGTTTCAGGGTGTCCCTGTTCTGGTCTTCTGAAGAGGGACTTTTAAAGAAAGGGACTAACCAAAAGGGGCAGGAAAAAACCAAAATATCTGTGGACAGTTTTGCTCCCTCCCAGCTAGTTTTATTGCTGCTTAACCTTGAGGAAGCTGCTGTACTAAACAGATCTTGGGAGAGCTTCTATAGCATCCCAGGGTTGAAGTGTGGCTACCAAAGCCAGGCTGGGAGTGAGGAAGCCATCAACACAGATCTTTTCATTCCCAAAGGGAGTGCAGGAAGGTTTCTAGGCCAGGAACTGCTTTACATGGTAGTCTTCAGCCTTTCTGCTACCCCTGTCTATTTTAAACTGGGGTGAAATTCACACTACCTCGCTCTGAAGGTGAGATCCAGTGCTGGGCTGTTTACTTAACTGTCTGTTTACTGCCCTTACTAAGCTCTTTTATCTCTCCCAGATTTAAAGCACTGTTCTGCATCTCTGAGGCATCAATACAATAAGGAGGAAGCAGGCTGCTCTTTCACGCCTTCCTTCTTGCAGGTGGTCAGGGTCATGCTAGAAACTGTTCCTCCTGAATGTGATGTGACCTCCCAGAGCTGCTTGTGAGTTGTTTCCCCCATTGATATCTTCGGAGAGTAATGAATTCGCTCTTCCTTGGATGCTGGCGACAGTGGTCTGCACGGGAGAGGAGCCTGTTTGGCATCAAGGCAGGCTGGTGGCCCAGGACCCACTGGCAGGGGTCGCAGCAGCATCCCCTTGCTGAAGCAATGGACTTGACTAGTTTTTCTGAATTTTGAACACTTTCAGGTTGTATTTTCTTCCCTTGTTTTTGTACATTGTTGTGATTCTAAAGCATTTCAGCCTTTGTTTTGTGGGGTTTTTTATTTGTTACAGGCTAATTTCAGGTGATTTGCACCTAGTTTGTCAAGGTGTGGGGTTGTTTTTTTTTTAAGGGGGAAGCATTGGAACAGCAATTCATGAAACAGCACATTTTAGAAAAAAAATTAAAAATGCTGATTTAATGTCAGAGTCTGGAGTCTTGACTTTGAGGCTGCTTTAGGCTTGTAGTCCAGTGGCACTTGTTCACTTGAGAATTTACTTGTTTCTTGGTGTATGTTATCCAAAGGTCTGACTGAGCTCCCTCATTCATATGGGAGGCAGGGAAGCGCTCTTCACGTTTTGTCAGTAGTTCACCTTTGTCTAATTTTGTGCAGAAGGATCTGTGGCAAAGCTGGTAGCTGAGCCCAGTGTCCTGAGCCTAAACAGCTTTGGCTGATTGTGGAAGGTTTGTAGCTGTACTCTGTCTTAGGCCAATTGATTCCTCCCTTTGGGTCTAGCAGAGTGTACTTTGTAGTTTGGCCCCTGCATTTCACTTCTGTAAAGGGAAGAGCTTCCCGTGAGCGGGCAGGGGAGCTGTTGAAGCAGAGGACTGTGACAATCCTCCAGTCCTGCAGCCAACTGTCACCTGCGCTTGCTTGTGCAGTGCACGTGCCTTCCTCTTATTGCTACCAGGACTCTTTGCCATCTGCATGTTTGCAGTCCTCAGTCATGGGACTTGTTCACTTTTGAAAGTAAATCCTTCTCCTTTTCTTCTCCTGCAGAGCAGGCACACCAGCTTGTAATCTGGAGAGGTAGATCTAAATAACCCCTCTCCAGCTTCCTCTGGGTCAAGTCGCAGAGGCTTCTGATTCTGATCAAACTTCTGATTCTTTACCAGCTCTCTGTCCCCCTAGAAATGCAAGCCAAAATATTCCCAGGGAAGGATGTTAAGTGAGTAAGTCCAGAGCACGAAGCCTTCCCCTGTACCTCAGGGGAGCTGTTCCCCAAGCAGTGGCAGTACTAGTTCCTATTCCAGCTTCTCCCAGTGTTTAGCTGACAGCTTCTGAGAGGTGCAGGTGGACTTTGTGTCCCCAAATCTGTGTGATAGAGATGGATTGGGTCTGTTTCTGGCTTGCTGTGTGGACAGCTGCAGCATACTGGTTGTCCAGTTCCTCACTGAATTTGACTGGTGAGAGTAGGCTCTGTTTTCTTTCCTTCCTGTTTTTAATATCAGTCCTGTAAAGAGGCAGGAGGAATACAAATGCCTTTGGGCATTGTTTTTAGTTCCTCAGCAAGCCACAGTCTGCTGGGGAAATAGATGTGAGTTTGGCACCCTTGGTGTTTGTTCCCTGCCAGTTACAGGAGTCACATTAGTTTGCTGGAGCTTCTTTAGTGTGTTGGAAGTTTTCGAGTTTGTTCTTACGTTTTTGCTGTTCTCAAAGCCTGGCTGGGGGTGAGGATCTTATTCATGCTTCGGTACACATTGCCTTTGATCAACAAAGAAGCAAGGGAGGAAATAGCACTTTGAATAAAGAGCTGTCCCATGTTTGATGGTGACAGAGGACGGAGAAGGGACTGGGGTATTGGAGGGAATGGAGCTGTTTGCGTGTTTGGCTTTCCTGGTGTGCCAGCGACGGGCTTGGTGCCGCAAAAGGAGGGGGGTGTCTGCGATGAGCCCAGGCTGAGATGAGTCATTAACAAATGACATGCACAGAGTACCTGGGGGAGGCAAACAGCTCTGCAGCAGCTGGTTAATGAATCTGGCTTGAAGGAAAGAGTTAGAAGCTATTCCGGGAATGAAGCAGAAGGCAGAGTTGTTAACAGGGAAGGATGCAGGAGGTGCTGTGCTGTTTGAGAAGGACAACAGATAAAGATTCTGTTGGCTCCCTGTGACTACAGAAAGGGCAGCAACTCAGAGCAGAGTTGCATGAATTAGGGGCTGGTGGGGACTGGATTGTGAACAGTTTTGAGAGGGGAGTGCCCGGGGAGCTTAACTGTGCTATGGGAATGAGAGGGAGGTGGGAGCAGAGGCAGTTTTGATGTAAACTCCCATGTATTGCATGTGCCTGCTGGAGGCAGCTAAGGCAGCTTGTCTGAGCACTGCTGGACTCTGCTGGACACTGCTCCCTGGCACGGGGAGAGTGTCCTGCCCTGCTTTGGTTTATGGCAGCAAAGAGCTGCTCCAGCCGCAGCTCACTCCAAGATTGCAGCAGGGCAGACTTTGAGCTATTGAACTTCTGTTTGCCTCTTCCACCCGGAGGGAGACAAAGTGGATGGAGCTGCCTTCCCTCTGCTCTTCAGGGCTTTATTGTCTAGCTTTGTGTTCTGCTGCTCCACTTGTACTACTGCTTGTTTAATATGGAATTGAGCACTGAGCTGGAAAATGGAAGAGAGGATCTCAGCTGATTGCAGTGCTGGTAGGCTGCCCTAGCCCTAAAGCTGTGCCTCATGCTAACAAATGTCCCTGGCATTCCTGCTGTGACTCGGTTGATACCAGCTAACATCAGGCAATTCTGGAATATGATAAAGCAATGCTGATGTCCATCTTTTACAGAAGAAAAAAAGTTTTGGCTCAAAATCTGTTTGTCTTTTACTTCCCTCCTCACCTTCTTAGATAAGTTGAATGCCAGGTTAGTCTTGTGTTGAGAGCAGGAGGGAAAGTCAGTGATGCTGACAGACCCTTCTGTGTTCAAATTTGTTCAGACCAGTCCTGCAATTGGTCTTGTACAGATTTCTGAAATCCAGTGGGTGCTTTTGGAGCTGCACTCAGGCTAGCAGATCTCTCTCCATGGATCGTGTACAGGAGCTTCAGAGCTGCTCTCCAGAGTGAAGCTGGGGAAAGCAAAGCTTTTGTTCCTATAGAGGCAGTGGTAGAAAGAGTTGGCCATTCTCCCACCAGTCCTGCAAAGCGAATTTTGCTGAACAGCTTTCAGTTCCTGTAAGAATGGAAAATGATACAGACCTCAGAGGGTGGCTTTGGTTTTAGTGTTCTTATCCTATGAGGGTGAAATGCTTTGCTTCATGTGTGTGAAGCAGACTTGGGCTTACTCATTGCAGAGGAGACAGAAGGAAGAGTGCCCTTAGCTTTGATAGCTGTGTTGGAACGTAACAAATCACATGGGTAACCCAGACTTTTCCTAAACTTTCAGTTCTCTACAGATTTATGTGAGTACAGCTAAGCTGGAAACCACACAAAGCCACCCCTGCAGGGTAAAACAGTCCAAGCTTGTGTGTTTGTAGGGCTGCTGTGCTGGGGTTTGTTACTTCAGCATCTGAGCCAATTGCAAACTACAATGGAGAGAAACAACCTTGCTCTTTATTATTCTTAAAAATGGGGAAATGGAGAAATTTAAGAACCTGCCCAACAAATATATAGGCCTTGCTAGCAAGATGTTGGGCACTTAGTCCCAAACAAAGTCTCTTGTTTTTTTTCCACCCCACTAATTCCTCTGTAGCATCTGACCTAATGCAAGGGAACCACAACCTGAATCTACGTAGCATATTTTTGTATAATCTAAGAGAGAGAGTAACCCAGGGGCAGCAAGGAAAGTAAATTAAAGTTTAGAGTGATTTCAGTTCCTACTTGTAACCTCAACCTTGTATTCCTAATACAGAGTTTTAGCCTGACAGTCTGATTGAATTTCTCAGCAGAGTTTTTAGAAATATGTCATTGTTTCACTCTGCTCCGTGACGAAGGTCCGTGTCTCTCAGGGACTGTTGACATTTTGCTGATATTTCATCAAGTTTGGCCCTACCACAGAGCTACCAGAGGTAAGTGATTGAAGTAAAGGGAGTGCGTGTTTACCCCCTAGCCTGGGCTGACCCTGTTCTCAGTGTCCCTGTGGTGGTATTCCCCTCTCTGACTGGTGAACCAGGCAAGAAAAAGGCAGAGCAGCACTTTGCTCCCTGTCTCCAAATCCATAGGCCCTGACGCTTCTTTTTCCCACAGTGTTTTCATCTCAGGAGATACCTTGTTGCAAATTGCCTGAGTGTGGTTGCTGTGACCACAGCTTTTTCTTGATAAGCTTCAGTGAATGCATATACACACTGGAAATTCCAGGCAGTAATGAGATGCCATAGGGTCATTTAACAGTCCTGAAATGTGTATTTCCCCACAGAGCACAAAAGAATTTGTGCCAGTAGCCCTTGCTTGGTGTAATTGTGGTAGAAGATGGGACACCCTTCCAGATCTCCAGGTCTCCTATAGAGGCTTTAGAATATCTGTATCATTAAGCATTTTTAAAATGCTGTAATCACACATGATACTTCTGTGTTTCCAGAAAAGCTGTTTGTGGTGGGTAAGCGAGGCCTCGCTCTGTCAGGGATCAGCCTTTCTGCGAGTATTTGGAGCTTGTCTGACCATAGGCTGTATCTTCATGGGTCTCAGGTTTGGGAGTAGTGCTGTCCAGCCCTCCAGACTCTTCCCAGAGATGCAGCAGCCCTCATGTTTCGGTCAGTGTCTCATGATGAGCACAGTCCTAAGGCTGCTCTGGGCTATTGCAGTAACATCTCGGTGTTTCATTGTCACCTTCGCAGCTGTTAGAGAGCACCAGCTCCTTCAGGATCACCTGCCAGCTGTGATGCTGTACCTTTTACATCACGACTGTGAGATGACACCTCTCCTTGCTGGCAGACAAGCCAGGTGGGTAGGCATTGCTCCTCAGAGCTGTTCTGCACCTCGGGAGGTGCAGGCCATTGCCTGGTTTAGCATAAAGGAAGTCAAGGACAAGGACAGCGTTATAAATAAGGGGCAAAGCGCAGAGCTGTGTCCTGTTCCAGCTTTGCTGCAGTTGCAGAGAGCAACCTTGGGCAGATCAGCTCCTCTGCAACTGCGTTTCCCAGGACAGCCTTGCTCCTGTGTGCTGACTGTGACAGGGGTTTGTGAAGGGCTTTGGTCTCCTGGCTGGGCAGAGGTTCATTGCTGATGGAATTGATGCATACATGCAGTAGGGGGGAAATCTTAAGCTTTTCCAGAAGTCATCTTCCTCCTCTGTAGCATATCCTTCTTTTCTCCTGATGCAGATAAGGTGGTCCATTGTGGGAATATCAGCCCGGAGTATTATGGGTAATATTCCAGGTTAATTATGGAGGGGGCAGGAAAAATAGCCTGTGCCGTTTTCAACAATATCAAAGGGATGCTACCTAATGATTTTCCTATTAGCTCTTTTCCCAGCCTGCCAGAGTCGCTGCAGAAGTGTCATTTACAAAGGCAGTTTGCAACTCATTACCCTGGATTTTCACTGTAGTTCTGCTCCAGAGAGCGTGGGCTTTTGCTGCGTGCCCCAAACCTAATGAATTGCCTGATTCGGTTAGTGCTGCCATCCCTTCTGACAAGGTTAGTTGCTGACTGACAGGAAGGGGCCTGAATTCAATTCCCTTCTTGTTTTCGACTCACGCTTGTGTCAAGCGCAGGCTCCCTCTGGGAGCTGCCCTGTGATCCCTTCCCTTTGTTTTTCTGCATTCTGAGGGAAGCAGCCCATGCTTGGAGAAGTCCTGCAGCAAGTGGCAGGGGCGTGTGTGCTGCTGCCCCTGGCAGTCCCTGCTCAATGCCTCAAGTCCCTTTCCAGCTGGAAAATTCCTTTGCTCTCCTGCTCTGGGGCTCTGGGCTTTTCTTTTTCTTCATTGCTTTGGGATTTGCTGTCACCTGAGCTGGGCTTTGTAACTCTTCAGCCAAAAAATACCTTGGAAAAGTTGCAATGTGGGCTGGGGGAAGAGAACTGCTTTCCCACACATTAGAGGGCAACTGTGTCCCTGTTGTGGGAGCTTCAAGGTCTGCTCCAGCCTGTTTGAGCTTTGCCAGGCACTTGTATAACAGTGCCGGAGAAAGCTCTTTGTCCTTTTTCACTAGAGAGCAGTGTGCTTTTTCAGGCTGGAGGCCTATGGCTCAAATCCTGCTAGGAATAGCTCCTGAGAGGAGAAATCAAGGCTGTTCTTATGTCATGTCACAAGTGCTACCACTTGGAAGCTGAATGTGGCTACTGCTCATTCAGCTGGTGGTGCAGGAAACATGCAGGTGCTGAGAGTGCCAGTTTGAGCTGAGTGTGGACAGCGGAGCCTGGGACTCCTGCCCCCCTCACTTCCAGGTCTGTGGACACACACCTGCTAAATGCTGTTCTCTGAGCCTGCAGTTGAGATGTCAGATGCCACCCCCTGAGGCTGCAGCTTGCATCCAGGACATCTCTTATTCAGTTACGCTGTCTCTGGGCTGGGCTGTGGCAGGGGAGTTTTTTAGTGCTGGCCCTCGATCCTTTTACTGGATGTCTTGAGGATCTGACCAAGCTGGCCCACAGGGGAGGCAGTGATGTTTCAGAGATCAATTTGTTTCTGCTGCATGTGGTGCCTCCTCCTCCACTCTTAATTAGATTCCTGTGGGTCCCTCTTTCTTGCTGCCCTTATTTGCTACTGAGTCCCTGTCAGGGAGACCCAGTTGTGGCCATATCAGCTGCTTGCTGTGCTCTAAGGAGCTGCTTCTGATTCCTGTTCTGGCTTGTCCACCGAACTGAGGAAGGTGCCTGTCCTCTGCTGGCAGTGCCACTCTGCCTGTCAGACCCACCGGTCTGGCTGTGCCATGGGGAGCCTGAGGTTGAGTGGATCTAAGTTATCCCAAGTGCTCTTTCACCCCCAAGTGCTGCCTTCTCTCTTGCACATCAGCTCACACCCCCATGTGGGCACAGTGTTCCCGTCCTGCAGGTGGGAATCCACATGCTGAGGGACAGGGAGACTTATCCCTGGTCAGAGTGGAAGCAGCAAAGCGAGGAGCCAGGCTGTTATCCCCTTGCTCTGCACCAGGAGCTCTCACTCTGATCCCTCTCCTTCCGCCAAGCAACTGTCCTTTTGCTGTGCAGCTTTGTCCTTTTCCTTGGCCTTGCTCTTTACCAATAGATGGAAGGAACCCGTGCTGTGCTTTTTCCCTTGGACTATGCTGCAGAGGAGAAATGAGAATCCAGACCGTACATGACTCTGTGCTGTGATCTCTGATCTCCCCTGAGGTTCTGCTTCACTTAGGTGGTCAAACTGTGTGGATTGAATTCCTTGGACTGGGTCCCCCCCACCATGTTGAGGAGAGCCCCTCTGTCACCAGGGAGGTGATTTTATTCCAGCTCTGACTTGCAGCAAAAAGCCAGAACTGGAAGGGGAATTGTCCACACCTTGGTCCCAGCCTGGCACTCTGTTATGGTCACTACCCTGGCTTCATGCTCAAGGACCAGGACTCTGAGAGGGACCTGCAGCACCACCTTCTTACACCCTCTTTTCAGACTTGGTGTGCAAGGTCTGCACAGTAAGCAATTCCTTATTGTCCCTTAGGTTTGCTGGGTGACAGTGGACAGTACCCTCTAATGGGCATCTCTTTAACTCCTCCTTCCCTCTAGAGATGTGTGAAGCTGTAGGATGTTGTATTTGCCTTACAGAGCCCTGACAATGGGTTGTCATTACCCATGGACAGCTCTGGAGGGCTCCAGCTGACCCTTGGGTAGGGCACTGAGCTGCTACCTGCCCATCCTGCCTCCCTCCCTCCCAGGATCTTGATTTTGTTCCCCATAGGCAACATCTTACGTGGTCCATCAGCTGCTGCTCCCTGTCCAGATGGACTCTGTGGGCACCACGAGGTGGGTACCTGTCTCTGACGGAGGCTGTGCTCGTGCAAGCTTAGAAACGTCACCTGTGTGCTCCTGACCTGATGATTGAGCTGTCGGGTGTCTGAATGAATCTTCTTGGTCTGTAAACCTAATGTTCTCTAATAGTTGGGGTGAGTCTGGCTGAACGTTTCTATGGTTTCCTGGTGGTTGCTAAGGAAAAGGATCGCTCTGCCTCTGGATCTTGGTGACTTTCTTTTTGCCCTGTCTTAGGTACTGGAGCCCAGCAGAACATAATGCTTGTTGTTTCCCAGCCCACTACAATGGTCAGGGCATAATTTGTGACTCCTGTCACGGCTGGGCTGGGCGCCTGCCACTCTTTTTTTCTAAGGCCTCTTTGAAGAATGAGACCAAAGAGCCTTCATGCAGGCGTTTGCATGTTTGCTGCGCTCCCTGCCCCCTTGCTTGCTGTTTCCTTTAGAGCTCCAAGTCATTTTAACGATTTATTTCATGCACTTTACATAGCAAGAAGCTGTAGAAGCAGCTGTGTCCATGAATCCTTACCAGGCAGCCCTCAGTATATTTTGGTCTGTCTACGTATTGTCCCAGGCACAGTTAAATAAATCTCTGCTGGAGGAAGGGACTTTACAGCTCAGCAGCAAAGGGCTGGCGAATGGGAATATAAACAAGATACTTAGTGAGCTGCTGGATCCTGGAATAACAGCGCCTCTGGGATAAAGCTCTGTTCCCACCAGCACAGCTGGGGGCCAGATCCAGTGCGGGCTCTTTGTTGCTGTCAGCAGGGACTGCGTCTCCATCCGGCGCCCAGTGATAATATTATAGTTACGGGGTGAAAGTTGGACCCAAACCTGCAGACTGGAAGCAGTTATAACTGTCTAGGCCAGATGCTGCCCTTGTCACCCTGCTGTCGATCCAGGCCTCGGGTGTTGAACATGATGGGCTCATTTCCACGGGTGCCATTTGGGATCTGGGCATGGATGAGCTCAGCTGGGTTCTGCAGAGGCTTGGAGCTGCACGCAGCACTGGGCAGCATTCGATCCGTCAGGGCATCACAGGATTCACAAGTTTACTTTTGCATATGGGATCAAAGCTTAAAATATCAGCTGGCCTTTCTCTTGCTCCTGACTTTTCTAAAACATCTGAACAATTTCTTCTTTAGCTCTGTTAAAATCAATCAATCTGACATTTAAATTGTATGTGAATTTGATAAATAAAGACAGGTTACAAAATGCCACATGGAATGATTTTTTTTTTTAAAGTTTTTCAACTACTTAGGACAAAAAAATGTTACAATGCTCAACTTTTCATTTAGTTACATAAATAATTTTTTTATAAATATCTCTTTATAAACAATATATAAATAGCTTTACAACATAAATACATTTATGCATGACATGAATTTACAAACAGCAACGTTATACAGCTGGCTTCATCAGTCTCTTGGAAAAGCACTGTCCCTTGTCTCGGTGAGTGTTTGTATATATAATATATATAAGATAGAGAGCACTTGTTAAAAAAGTAACAAAACCAAAACAGTTGGTGCCATGACTCCTCGTACCAAAAAGAAAAACACAGCCACGTCTTTTGTCCATTCCAGGGGGATCACTGCTCTTCTAGGTGTTGCCTGGGGGATGGCCGTGCCTGGCCGTGCGTGGTAGGAGAAAGTGGACTATGGATTCAAAGCCCTGTGAGGAAGGAGAAGAAAGTGCCTGTTAGTAGTTGCCACACAACAACCCTTACCCGTCCCAAGCTGGAACCTCTGTCAGAGTAACCCTGGCCATGGGCTGGGAGATGCTGAAGTCAGCAGAAGCCCTCCCTGAGCTTTTTTGCTTGTGCTAAAGCAAGGAAGAAGCTCACCCTTTGCTCTCTGGCTGTTTGGTATTTAGGGGAGAGGCTGAGGGAAGCTGCTGCTCCTTCTGCCCCTGCATCAATTGGAAATCTTTTTTTTCCTAATGATTTAGCAAGGGCAGATGCATATGAGCTGGCTTCATGGTGTGCATGTGCTTCTTGGAGCCCTGAGCTGGGTGATTCCTTGGGAAGACCAAGGAGCCTCTACATGAGGGAGCAGGGAAGCAGCACTCATCCCTCCAGGACAGGCCATGGACCAGCACTGGCATCCTGCGGGCACCTTTGGGCCATGCTCTTCTCACTGCTCTGCAGAGCAGCAGGATGCTGGATCCGGTCCCCTGTGTGCCCAGTTGTGTTACTACAGGGCCAGGGCAGGTCCCTGTGAGTGAGGCAGTGCTGTGCCAAGGGAAGAAGAGGGAATGGCCTGGGCTGCAGCAGGCAAGTGCTTCCCCTGCTGTGAGTTCATCTACATGTGACCTGTGGGCAGGGCCAGGCCAGAGCTTTATGGCCCCAGCACCTTCAGGGAGAGCTGGCAGGGGAGGCACTGCCAGATTTCTCCCAAACCAGTCGCTTTGGGGAAGTGGCATTTCCTTCACCCCTCCATTCCTATGCAGTGGCTGTGGAGCACTGTGGGAAGAACTTCTGCAAGCTTCCCATAACTTGCTCAGATACAAAGCCAGAGTTGGGAAGTGCAACTCTTGACAGTCACCACAACTAGAAGACACCTGGGGAACTTGTGTATTGTTTTGTCTCACATTAAAAGCATTGGTGCATGGCTGAGACAGGAGGCTCACTAACCCTCCCATTGCAGGCACACAGGGTACCCTGCCCTCCTAACCCCTACCCATAGGTCCAATGTGTGTGTCAAGCATAGGGAGGAACTGGGAACATGTGGCTGCACTGGAGCTCCTCCTGCATCCTCCCTGGAGCCTACGGGTCTAGCTCAAACTAGGGGGAATCCAGCTTGAGCTGCTGCGGGAGCAGCTGGGGTCTCTGATCCTTCTGCAAGGCAGAGGGGGGTGATGGAAGGGTGGCAACGCAATTAAGGCCAACTTGGGGTCTCTTTTTGCCCGCCAGCAACGCCGAGTGTTGCGAGGCTCAGCGGATGACCCCCTGCAGTCCTGCCCGCTGGCATCTCGCGTTCGCGGGGCAGCGCATCCACCGCAGCCTCCGCGGTGCCGGAGCGCAGCCCCCCGGCCCCATCCCGGCCCCATCCCGGCCCCATCCCGGCCCCATCCC